ATCCTCTCCTGCGGCCTATTGCCCAATCGGCCAGTTGACTCCGTAACTCCGATATCCTTGGCACAATAACCGCTCTTCTTGGCCCGATGCCCGAGTCCACGGCCCGAAGCCTTCTGTCGATACGTCGACCGATCCACCGGCCCGATGTCCAATCTTCTGACATGTTCCTCCGGTACAACATGATGTTCCTGCTTTAATTGTCTCATCCTGATCAAAGCATCCTGCGTCACTCAAAACGCATATTAAATCATAAACATATATCAAGTAGTTTCATCATCAAAATACGAGATTCAACATCTCGTGTACGATGAACCCGAGGAATTTCCCGGAAGTGACGCCGAAAGCACACTTTGTGGGGTTGAGTCGCATGCCGAACTTGCGCAGTGTGGCGAATGCCTCGGCCAGGTAGGCAAGGTGCGTTTCGGCTTCTTGACTTTTCACGATCATATCGTCCACGTAGACCTCCATGTTCCTCCCGATCTGATGGCCGAACATCTTGTTCACCGTTCTCTGGTATGTGGCCCCAGCATTTTTTAACCCGAACGGCATGACCTTGTAAAAGTACACCCCTTGATCGGTGAGGAAAGCCGTATGCTCTATGTCCTCGGGCGCCATCCTGATATGGTTGTACCCTGAATAGGCATCCATGAAAGATAGGCGTGCGTGCCCAGCTGTTGCATCGACCAGCTGGTCGATCTTCGGGAGGGGGTAGCAGTCTTTAGGGCACGCACTGTTAAGGCTGGTGTAGTCAACGCACAACCTCCAGCTTCCATTGTGTTTTTTCACGAGTACTACATTGGACAACCATTGAGGATATTTGGCCTCTTCTATGAAGCCTGCTGCTAGGAGCCGGTCCACCTCTTCCTGTATGGCGCGTTGTCGGTCAGGAGCCTGGCGCCGGGGCTTTTGCTTCACTGGGCGAGCGTCGGGTGGGATATTGAGATGATGCTCCACGACCTCCGGGTCTACACCCGTCATGTCTGATGGGGACCAGGCAAAGATGTCAGCATTTTCCCGTAGGAGCCCGACGAGTCATTCCTGCTCCCGCTCGGGCAGCTCTGATCCGATCTTGATTGCTTGGTCGGGCCGAGCTTCTCGCAGGGGTACGTTAACAGTGGATCCCCTCGGCTCGGGATGGGGAGCCAGTTTTTTCGTTTCCCGTGGGTCTTCCAGGGGTGCCTCGGTCCTGGCTCTCTTTCCCAATGAGACGGCGGTAAGGTAGCACCGCCTAGACTCTCGGGGGCTTCCCGTGACTTCCCCGACTCCCGCATGAGTTGGGAACTTGATGGTCTGGTAGTAGGTGGAGACGACCGGCCCTGACCTTGTTGAGGGTCGGCCGGCCGAGTATGGCATTGTAGGCGGTGGGAAGGTCGACCACCAAGAATGTGGTCATCACCGTTTTCGACCTCGACGGAGTCCCCAGAGTCAAGGGCAAAGTAACAACTCCCAGGGGTGATATTGAATCTCCCGTGAAGCCGGTGAGTGTCGAGCACATCGGGCTCAGATTTTCTTTGGCCAAACCCAGCTTCTGGAAGGCGTCGAAGTAAAGTATATCGGTCGAGCTCCCTGTGTCGACCATGATCTTCCTCACTTGCGCGTTGGCTACCCTGGCCGATATCACTAAGGCGTTGTCATGGTCGGGGCGATCGGAAGCTCCGGTCGGGAAGGTAATCTCGGGCTCGGGCTCGTGTCCCGCGGTTTCGTCAGGAGCGGCTCGGGCATACGCCTTTCTGCCCGACATGGAGCCTCCCCCAGATGCAGGGCCCCTGGCTATCACATCGATGTGCCACTCGACGGGGCCCTCCGGTCGAGGTGACCGCTCCTTGTTCGGCCGGAGATACTGGCCGAGGTGTCCTCTGAGGATAAGCTCCTCGATTTGCCTCTTCAACTCGTAGCACTGTTCAGTATCATGCCCGTGCTGTCGATGGAATCGGCAATACCTTGAACGGTCCGCGAGCTCCCGTGGGTTCCTCATCGGGTGAGGGTCCTTGAGCAGCCCCTTCCCCTTCTCGTGCAGGAAAATTTCGGTTCGGGACGAATTCAAGGCGGGAAGAGGAGACCTTGATTCGGGTCTGTCAGTCCTCCACCGGGAGGCGGCGGGTTGTGGCTGTCGGGGTGGCTCTGATTTGACCTTTTTGTGATCCTCCCGCTTTCCGGCCATCCAAGTCTCCGCGGCGACGAATTGACTGGCACGCTGGAGCATTTCGGGGACCGCGACGGGGGGCCGCTCCACGAGCGACCAGAAGAACCTGGAGGGCCGCAGGCCTGTCATGAATGCCTGCATTAAGAGAGAGGGGTGAGCATCCGATAATCCGCGGATCTGCGTCGTAAAGCGGTTCACAAAATGGGAGAGGGGCTCGTCCTCCTTCTGGTTGAGCTCGAGGAGCAACGCCATGGACGGCTTGGTCGGGCATAGGCCAAGAAGTTAAGCTCGAAATCCTTGGCGAGTTGATCGAAGGAGGCAATGGTCCCGAGCTTCAGGCCGCTGTACCATGCGCGGGCTGGCCCCCGCAGAGTCGTTGGGAATGCCCTGCACATTAAAGCGTCAAAAGTCCCGTACAATGCCATCTGGGCGCGGAAAGCGGCCACGTGGTCCGCTGGGTCAGCGGCGCCATCATACGCGTCCAGTGAGGGGAGGCGGAAGTGCGGCGGGATCGCCTGCTCTTGTATCTCGGGGGTGAACGGGGATCCTTGGTGTCCGTCCGCCCCGAGCTCCCCTTTTGACTTGCGGACTTCCTATTGTACCTCATCCAGTTTTTTACTGACAAGGCGCAGCTGAGCTCACAAGGCATTCGTCGAATCGGCGGTCGGAGCCTCGGGCTCGGGGCGGCTCGCCGTGTCCTCCGCTTCCCGGCTCCCGGGCCGAGTTGCGGGGTTTCGGGGCGAGATAGGAAGCTCTGGAAGTGGCGCGTGCGTCCGGACAGGGGGCTCCCGTTGCTGCGTAGGTCGGGTCGCATGCGGAGGGGCTTGCTGGGAGACGATCAGGACGATGGTCTGCACCATGCTTGTCAGTGCTCGGACCTGGTGGGCAAGGTCATGAAAGGCCTCGGGTGATACTTGCGATGGGCCGGCGGGTGTATTGCCGGGAGGCGACAAGCCTGGGTCATTGAACAGTTGCCAGTAGCGTTCTGACACCGTCGCGGGGCGTTCGTCGTGGGTTTCATTATGTAGGGGGTGTTCCCCCGAGGCGGGGAGCCTAGTAGTCGAGGGTCTGCCGAAGTGGGTTCGCTGATCGCTTGACATTTGGACAGGCCCTCCTTCTAACGCCAATCTATTACGGTAAGTAACTTTTTCAACCGTGACCTCGGGGACGACGCGGTTGGTTCAGGGCTCCAAATGGCTAGGATCAGACGTGGCTCCCCTTGGGATGTTGCGGTGGTTGCCACGGAGGCTGCTAGCCGGAAAGTTCCGTGACATCGTGCGGATTCAGCAGCGGTCGAGTACCTGCACACAGGTCGGGTCGGTTGCTCGGCCCGGCCCCTCCGACGATCAAGTCAGTGAAGCGAAAGAGGAGTGTTTAGTGAGATTGTCCCTCTCCCCCCCCCCCCCTTTCCTGTTGGGAGCCTGGGGGTATTTATAAGTGGGTTTGATGTTACCTGACGTGCCATCCTGCCGGGGCGGGGCCGTACCTCTGATGGCGTCTGTCGTTGTGGTCGTTGCGTGGAAGGCTGAGCTGCCGCAGGGTATGGGGGGTGTCAGTCAGCGCCTTCCCCTGCCTCGGCCGGCCATGAGGGGTCAGCCGAGGAGGTTGCTTGGGTATGGTGGGTGTAGGTGCGCGTCGTGTCGTCGTTAATGCTCGTTCAGGAGCCATGTGCCGCATAGGGTGTCCGGCGTGGGGGTGCATTACGTCAAATCCGGGGTGTTATGTCAAATCAATTTTTTTACCCCTATCAGGAGTGTTAATAGCTTTTGAGTTATTCATATTAAACTTTTTCAGTAAATTCATAGCATATTTAGTTTGACTAATAAAGATGCCATGTTTGATTTGTAAGCCTAAGAAGAATGTTAATTCTCTAGGAAACTCATTTCGAATTCAAGACTCATAGTTTTAGCAAAAGATTCACAAAGAGATTCATTCGTAGAACCAAAGATAATATCATAAACATAAATCTGAACAATGAGAAAATTATTTTTAAAATTCTTGATGAACAATGTAGTATCAACCTTGTCTTTTGTGAAATTATTTTCAATAAGGAAAGAACTAAGTCTCTCATACCAAGCCCTCGGAGCTTGTTTTAAACCATAGAGAGCTTTAGTTAATCTAAACACATGATTAGGGAGGCTATTATTTTCAAATCCAGGAGGTTGTTCAACATAGACTTCTTCGGAAATAAAGCCATTAAGAAAAGCGCTTTTAACATCCATTTGAAACAACTTAAAATTATTGCTACTAGCGTAGGCAAGGAGCATCCTTATGGCTTCTAATCGAGCCACAGGAGCAAAGATTTCTTCGTAATCGATACCTTCTTCTTGGTTGAAACCTTTGGCCACTAATCTAGCCTTGTTTCTAACCACGATACTATATTCATCTTGCTTGTTTCTAAAAACCCATTTAGTACCAATAACTAAATGGTCATTTGGTCTAGGAACAAGCTTCCACACCTCATTTCTCTCAAATTGATTTAATTCATCTTGCATTGCGATAATCCATGAATCATCTTTCATGGCTTCGTCAACACATTTGGGTTCAATTTGGGAGAGAAAAGCGGTGTTGGAACAAAAAATTTTAAGAGAAGAATGTGTTTGAACCCCCTTTGATGTGTCTCCTAGGATTAGCTCCTTAGGATGAGCATCAACATACTTCCAATCCTTGGGTAAGGATGTTTTGGAAGTGGATGCATCCAAGTTACTAGTTGGAGACGGGGTTTCATTTAAATTCAAGGAATCAAAATTAACATCATCATCAAAATTATTTTTCCTGATTTCGGAAATCTCATTAAAGA